GCGGAACCTTGGTTCTTGTATGCCCTAGTTGGAGAGAATTTTTGGGTGTCTGGAATGGAACCAATTAATCCGTTCCAGACACCCTAAAATATTAACAAAATATACATTTTATTGCAAATTTTCTCCAACTAGGGTATACGAAAACGGAGGTTCCGCTATTTTATTTCTTTTATGCGGTATGCAAATGTATTAATGTTGCAGTTTAAAAACTGTAGTGTAAAGCACCCTTCTGGCAAGACAGTGATGGAGTGAATGATGGTGAAAGTTTTTCTTTTTCGGTCCACCCTGCCTTGGTGGTCCACCCTGCCTTGGTGGATCACCCTGCCTTGGTGGTCCACCCTGCCTTGGTGGACCACCCTGCCTTGGTGGACCACCCTGCCTTGGTGGATCACCCTGCCTTGGTGGTCCACCCTGCCTTGGTGGACCACCCTGCCTTGGTGGTCCACCCTGCCTTGGTGGACCACCCTGCCTTGGTGGACCACCCTGCCTTGGTGGACCACCCTGCCTTGGTGGACCACCCTGCCTTGGTGGACCACCCTGCCTTGGTGGACCACCCTGCCTTGGTGGACCACCCTGCCTTGGTGGTCCACCCTGCCTTGGTGGATCACCCTGCCTTGGTGGTCCACCCTGCCTTGGTGGATCACCCTGCCTTGGTGGACCACCCTGCCTTGGTGGACCACCCTGCCTTGGTGGACCACCCTGCCTTGGTGGCCACCCTGCCTTGGTGGGAATCGGCCAGTGTGATAAAAAAAAAAAAATTAAATATTAAGTATAAAAGAAAGTCACTGTATTTTGCATCATCATAGCAGACTCCGATACAAAAACTCAGCACAGCTTTGACATTTTATTCCAAAATACTGTACAGTTGGGCAGGGTCTATAAGTTGGAGGGGGTTCAGCCCCCCCTTCAGCCTGGACCCGACTGACTCTCTGAAGGGGGCCTCATAGCCACAGACATTTTGAGCTTTTCGTTTGACATTTTTTTCGTAATTTCAACTGTTTTTAGTTGATTTACAAAAATAATTATGTAAAATTGACTTCGACTGGAGTCCTCAATCTGTCCCAAGGAGCCCCAAAGCAGTCTTGTCCTGCCTTGCAAAATTTCTCTTGGAGGCCCTGCACGCGGGCCTCACTTTAGAGCGATTTGTTTTACAGCATTTCACTAATGCACGAACACTGGTACTCGAATTTAATTCATCCCAGAAGGCTGTTCAAGTGCTGTTCTGTTCGAGTATCGAATGAATTTTTCCCAGTTTTCTTTTTGGTTGGCTGTTATCGCTAATCTTCATAGGCCCCATGGTGAGTTATTTATACAAAAAAAAAAAAACATCCAAAGAAACATGAAATAATTTACAGCGAAATTCTGGCAGGTTGTATTTATTTGGTCATGCCAAGCTTTGTTTGTGTAAGGAGCTGTTCGAGTACCAAGGTTCCACTGTATAGCCATTCTTCATTTATTCAGACTTCCAACAATAAATACAGTGGACCCCCGCATAACGATATTATTTCAATCCAGAAGTCTGTTTGGGTGCCGTTATAGACCGAATTTGTTCCCATAAGAAATACTGCGAATTAGATTAGTCGGTTTCAGACCCCTTAAAATACACCTACAAAATCACTTACAAAAATACACTTACATAATTGGTCGAGTTGGGAGCTGATCGTTATGTGGGGGTCCACTGTATACAGTTGGGCCTTGTTTTACAGCATTCTGCTAATACAGACACTTCAAATTATGACCAAAACTCACTATATGACTCCTTCCCACCTAACTTTCTAATACGGTCACCGCACCCCACCCAGTTTGTTTACATTTTCCGTGAGCACTGTCTCTCTCCATTATGCCTGGAAACTTTCCAAAATTTCAAGTGTTTTAAAGTTATTTCATGTTTTATACATACTCTGATAATTATACTTATGTGTAACTGTACCTAAATAAACTCACACACTGTGCTAGCGTGCAGGTACACATTAAAATCACTAAGAATCTCTTACTAGTCTAGAGGATGCCATATTTATAATGATAATAATAATACGCAATAACCACTGAGAGACGTTAAATGTTGTACATTACGTTTTATAAACGTTTTCATTAATCCATCTATGATTGATTGGCGAGTGGTGGGGAAGGCAGCATGAGTGGTGGAGAAGACAGTGTGGGTATGAGAAAGGCAGTGTGAGTGGTGGAGGAGACTGTGGGTATGAGAAAGGCAGCATGAGTGGTGGAGAAGACTGTGGGTATGAGAAAGGCAGTGTGAGTGGTGGAGGAGACTGTGGGTATGAGAAAGGCAGCATGAGTGGTGGAGAAGACAGTGTGGGTATGAGAAAGGCAGCATGAGTGGTGGAGAAGACAGTGTGGGTATGAGAAAGGCAGTGTGAGTGGTGGAGGAGACACTGTGGGTATGAGAAAGGCAGCATGAGTGGTGGAGAAGACAGTGTGGGTATGAGAAAGGCAGCATGAGTGGTGGAGGAGACACTGTGGGTATGAGAAAGGCAGTGTGAGTGGTGAAGAAGACAGTGTGGGTATGAGAAAGGCAGTGTGAGTGGTGAAGACAGTGTGGGTATGAGAAAGGTAGCATGAGTGGTGGAGAAGACAGTGTGGGTATGAGAAAGGCAGTGTGAGTGGTGGAGAAGACAGTGTGGGTATGAGAAAGGCAGTGTGAGTGGTGGAGAAGACAGTGTGGGTATGAGAAAGGCAGTGTGAGTGGTGGAGAAGACAGTGTGGATAGGAAAGGCAGCATGGGTTTGTGTAAACAGGTTTAGCAAACAATATAATGATAACAATGTTTGTGCGGTTATTGTGTGGCATACAGTGAGTGGATATATATACATTATGCATTATATTGGTCTCATAGGCCACAAAAGTTACCTGAAAAAATATTAATAAAGAAAAAAATAGATGTAAAAACAATAATGCCGAGTGAACGACAGTTGCCGATGTTGCCAGAAACAGTTCACTTTGTCAACTTCACACCTCTATATCTCAGTAAGTATTGATTGTGAATTTTTTTTCTTTTAAAACAACCAGAAAAATATTCTTAAGATTTTGGTAAGAAAATTTTTTTTTTTTTTTTTAATATTTTTCAACACTGAGAGCAGGTTTATGATCAAAGGTTTTGACGGTGAAAGGGTTAAAAATCTGCACAAGAAGCACTGGAATACCAGAGTTAAGTGGTATTCCAATCGTAATGACAATTGCAAACAAACCATACCACAGGCAGGATGAATCTTATTGTAGCCAGCTGGCCCAGTGGCTTAGGCGTCAGTCTGGAGTTTCACGACTCTCTAACTGCAGGCTGAAGCCCCGCCTGTGGTGTAGTTTGTAGTTACAAGCTCTGGTTGGTAATACACATGTGAAACAGTTAGGTATTTATTCCAAAACGTTTCATCTGATGAAATGTGTGCAGGCGAAACGTTTTGGACTAAGATACCTAACTGTTGTACATATGTCTGACTTATGAAAAAGGTTTGGTACTGATGACAATGTTTTTTTTCCTTTCAACAAACCGGCCGTATCCCACCAAGGCAGGGTGACCTAAAAAGAAAAACTAAAGTTTCTCTTTTAAATTTAGTAATATATACAGGAGAAAGGGTTACTAGCCCCTTGCTCCCGGCATTTTAGTCGCCTCTTATGACGCACATGGCTTACGGAGGAAGAATTCTGTTCCACTTCCCCATGGAGAATTATTATTATTATTGCTATATGGTAGGTGGTAGGTTGGTAGACAGCAACCACCCAGGGAGGTACTACCGTCCTGTGGTAGTAGGTTGGTAGACAGCAACCACCCAGGGAGGTACTACCGTCCTGTGGTAGTAGGTTGGTAGACAGCAACCACCCAGGGAGGTACTACCGTCCTGTGGTAGTAGGTTGGTAGACAGCAACCGCCCAGGGAGGTACTACCGTCCTGCCAAGTGAGTGTAAAACAAAAGCCTGTAATTGTTTTACATGATGGTAGGATTGCTGGTGTCTTTTTTCTGTCTCATAAACATGCAAGATTTCAGGTACGTCTTGCTACTTCTACTTACACTTAGGTCACACTACACATACAAGTACAAGCATATACACACTCCTCTGGATTTTCTTCCGTTTCCTTATTTTTTTTTTTTTTTAACAAGTCGGCCGTCTCCCACCGAGGCAGGGTGGCCCAAAAAGAAAGAAAATCCCCAAAAAGAAAATACTTTCATCATCATTCAACACTTTTACCTCACTCACACATAATCACTGTATATTCTAAGTTCTTGTTCTTGTTTATTTCCTCTTATCTCCATGGGGAAGTGAAACAGAACTCTTCCTCTGTAAGCCGTGCGTGTTGCAAGAAACGACTAAAATGCTGGGAGCAAGAGACTAGTAACCCTTTCTCCTGTATACATTACTAAAGTTAAAAAGAGAAACTTTTGTTTTCCTTTTTGGGCCACCCTGCCTCGGTGGGATACGACCAGTGCGTTGAAAAAGATAAAGTATCATTATAATCAAAACCAAGTGCTAGACACACGAGGGTCATAGAGTGCTGCAGTGCACCGGGTGCTGCTGGAGCAGAGAGTAGCTAGAGGATAACAGAGGTAGAGTTAGAAAGGGCTGTGAGGAGTGCTAAAGGAATTATTATCAGGGTTTGTACTGATGACAGTAACACAGAGGAAAAACACAAATTCAGCTCAAACATATATTCTAATCTGTAGTATTTTTAATTACATTTTGCAAGTCTTATGCTAACACTACAAAGAAAGTAGTCCAATAAGTAATTTTCATAGGCATTATATACATCAATATTAGTTAAAATGTGAAATATACATATAAATAAAATCATAAAAAAACAAGAAAAAACGGGTATTACCCACAATTTAAAATCAGCGATAATTTACACAAATTCTAATATACACACGACTATACAGGAAATTAATACTTGTTAACATACCAAATAATTATACAGTAGGACCCCCCGTATCCGCTGGTCCGGTTTCCCACGGATTCAGTTATCCACAGTTTACCATGGCCCAAAAATAACTCTTAATTTTGCTTAACCCTTTGACTGTCGCAACCCCCAATCCTAAGGTGTCTCCTGGTGTCGCAAAATTTAAAAAAAAAAAAAATTATTTTTTCTTATGAAATGATAGAGAATCTTTTCCCGATTGTAATGACACCAAAAAAACGAAATTTGATGGAAAACTGACGGAAATATGCTCTCGCGAATTTAGCGACCTCAGCGATGTTTACAAATCGGCGATTTCGCCAACTTTGAGCCCTATTTTCAGCTAATTCCATTGTTCCAGTCACCCAAACTCATAGCTATTTCTTTAGAACTCCAATTTTTCTATCGATTGAGTACAAGAAACTGCCCATTTACCGATTTCAACTACCTAATAATGTGGTCAGAAATTTGGAATTTGGCCAATTTCACGAAAACTAAAAAATATGACAATTTCAAAATAAGGTCCAGAATGAACAATGCAGACAATCCTGGCTCTAAAATAACATTTTCTTTGTTCATCAGTCACATCTCCAGTCCCCTCTGATATTATTCTTGCTTTCTATTTTGAATTTTTATTCAAACAAAAAATAGAAGACTTACTATTATGCAGACTACTGCAATACTGTAATAATTGTATAAATAACATCAACCCATTCGTGACTGCATATTAGAATGGCTAATTGGACATTTATTGGAAAATGGCATCATTTGTTTACTTTTGAACATTGGCAAAAATCAAACATTTCCCCTACTTTGAGCTCCATTTCTAGGTTCTTTTTATAGTAAAATCAATCAAAATCACCTCTATTTCTATAATATGTTTTCCATTCTATCAAATGAGACCAAGAAAATGAGAATACAACCATAAATACTATACGAAAATAGACCACAAAGTTGGCATTTTAATTAAAAAAAAAACGGTCGGAGTTTTTTTTTTCTCATTATGCACTGCGTGCTCCAGTATTTTTTTTTATATGGTGCACACTGACCACACAGACCCATTCTCTCACATGTGGGCCTACCAGCTTTCTCCTGCTTGATTTGAAGCCGCTAGAATTTATGAGTATATATACGTCAAACACGGTACCTCGTAAGACGTACATATACGGCCGCGACAGTCAAAGGGTTAATGGATTCAAAGTGCAAAAGCCTAAGAGAAGCCATAAAGTGGTCCTCATCAGCGAAAAAGTGCTAATTCTCCACTTATTGTGCATAATTTATCAATTAATCTTTATCACAGGTATGTAAACGAAAAATAACTTACATATAGGGTTCGCTACTATCCGTGGCAGGTCTTGGAACATATCCCCCGCGAATAAGGGGGGACTACCGTACATAATGGAGCACCGGGAATCCAGAGTGGAAGACGGCTAACCTGCAGTTGTTGAGACGGTTATAGCAAGGCCTTTCAGAACTACTTTTTAGAGAATAAAATGGCACAATACCGTGACTGGAACAAAATACAAATTATCACAATCAAAAGTAGGTGCTAAGCCCACAGGGGGTCATACAGGGAATGATACACAAATAACCCACACACAGGAAAAGGAGAATGGAACTTATGACCATGTCATTAAGAGTCATTCTGGAAAAATAAATTCAAGTGTAGTATAATGTGATCCTTCACTATGTCAATAAAGGATTACATCATACTGCCTTTGTGTTTATTTTTCCTTCCTGTTGGTATTACACGCTATTTATCTCCAACGATATTACATACCATTTATCTCCAACGATGTCACATACCGTTTATCTCCAACGATATCTCGTACCATTTACCTCAAAGTTTCGTTCTCAAATGTGTTGGGTATTTGTGTATAATTTTTAATGACCCTCATTAGATATCCTGCATTGCATGGACACCTGTGGCCCAACACCAATGTCACAAAAAATGCACAAAACCCGTATTCCTAGAGGGTTTCAGGGATCAATGGCCCAGCGGCCTGGTCTGTGACCCGGCCATTAATTCCCCTCAGCTAAGAGAGGGGAGCTAATGGCAGAGGGCAAGTACTGTGCTGTAGTGTCAAGGGTGTTTTCATGTCCTAAAAAATTGAAAGCAGGTGCGACAAGTCATTTTGTTAAAATAGCAAAATCGGTCTGAAAGTAGGGCGCCTAACACTTGAACCATTCAGGTACTGGACTTGTCTTACACAGGATGTGATTTACAGCACAAGTGGAGCTTTCCGTTTTTTTTCCTTGGACATGACCCAGTGAACTACAGATGCTCCTCGACTTAAGTTGGCTCGACTTCCAATATTTCAACTTGATGATGGTACAAGAGCAATTACTTTACAGATGAATCTTAACCAGAATGAAGGCAGCAAGTCCCTAAGTGTATTATTTAATTTTCAATACTGGTATTTAGTTGCAGTAATTATTTGTATATTTACTTATTTAGTGGCAATAGTCATTTTTTTTTTTTTACGCATCAGTCGTATCCCTCTGAGGCACAGCGACTTAAAAAGGAAAACAAAAGTTTTTCTTTTTAAATTTAGTAATTTATGCAGAAGGGGTTACTAGCGCCTTGCTCCCGGCATTTTAGTCGCCTCTTATGGCACGAAAAGCAGTAGTTATTGATTTACTTATTTATACCATTCTTATTTGATTTACGATATTTACAACTTTGTTTATCGTAAGTTGAGGAGCACCTGTGAAACAAGATACCGGCTTCGACTCCTAAGAGAAGAGAAAATTTCAGAGATATGGAAACAGTTTCTCAGACTTGCCACTTGCACTACACCCAGCCCATCACCGAGCATAATAAGAGTCACATGAAAAACAAAAAGGCACAATACCATGACAGGAACAATATACAAATAACCCACACATAGGGGTGTTAATGTTGCAGTTTAAAAACTGTAGTGTAACACACCCTTCTGGCAAGACAGTGATGGAGTGAATGATGGTGAAAGTTTTTCTTTTTCGGGCCACCCTGCCTTGGTGGGAATCGGCCAATGTGATAAAAAAAAAAAAAAATTAGGAGAGATGAGCTTATGATGACATTTTGGTCTTACTTGGACCATTTACAAGAATGATAGAAGGGAGTGAGCGAGCCAGTATATGTATTGGCCCACTCACTCACTCCCTTCTGTCAGCGTGTCTTGTGAATAGCCCAAGATGGACTAAAATGTTGTCATAAGATTTCTTTTATCTCTCTTACATTTGGGTTATCTGTGTAAGAGTCACATGAGTCAAAGAGAGTGGCACAAAGACAAGTGTCAGATCAGTCAGGTGGTGCTGGCTGCAGGGCTTCAAAGTCACTGACAACAACCACCCACCAATCAGGCAGCCAACAAGCCTGGCCTCAGGGGTTGGTTATGAGGTTGAACATCATAAGCAGTCACAGCTATGTTATATTGCTTTAAGAACTTATCCTGAAAATTCAGCCATTCTGAAAGGCATTGGTCTTGCCCAACCTGAATCTGGAGTGCATCACTATATACATGTACTTTAAAATACGTGAAGTACTATACCTAAAAATGCTATGTATCTGGTAAGAATGATCCAAGACATGTAAATCAGTGCCATTATTCCTGAAGAGCATGATATGACCTTACATATTACAGTTACTATTGCCAGCACTGCATTTACTTCCCCTTAATCATAAAAATGCAACATCACTCTTACAATATAACACACATGCTACTATCCCTTACAAGCAAGCTTGTGGGGACTTCACCTACAGGAAGACCTCGCATATACATCTTATTTTCGGTGTTCCATGTTTTCATTGGCTTTAAACTGAGCCATTGTTCATTATGTTCCACTTGCCAGCAATGTTCACCAGCAGGTGGAACAATGGCTCAACTGAAAGCCAATGAAAATGTGGAACACCAAAGAGGTGCCGTATGGGGCCCTCCTGTACCTGTATCAGCCGATACACTTCCCACAACTAGTTGTGTTAAGCATCTTATCAATTGGATTGAATATTGAGTCTTGAACCCTTAGTCCAGCAGTCCTCAGACTACTGATCTACCATTATCAAACTACAGAACGAGTGCAGTTAGAACCCATGGAGAGTGTCACAAAGCTCCAGGCCTTTGTTAACCTCCCTATGGTGTACAGTAAGTTCTCAATTGACAAACATATTGAGAATCTTCTTTGTTATGTTTTATATCTTTATTATACACAATTCAGGAGGTCTCCAATATGTTTGTAAGTCAAGGACTTGCTGTATACATATACATGTACCTTGCTGTATACATATACATGTACCTTGCTGTATACATATACATGTACCTTGCTGTATACATATACATGTACCTTGCTGTATACATATACATGTACCTAGCTGGATGAATTTTATTGTAGTCAGCTGGCCCAGTGGCTTACACACTGGCCCGGAGTTCTACCACTCACTTGCCATGCGTTCTAACCTCATCAGTACCACGATTAGTTTACAATTGTGTTATTACCATTTCGTGAATCTACCATTATACATTTCGCCCTCTTAGTATTATTATTTTTATTATTATTATTATTATTATTATTATTACAATCACAACTAGGCACTAAACCCACAAGGAGCTCAACCTCTTAGTAGTGATACTTTTTTTATGCCAAAAAATAAATGCCAAGCCTGTAAGTCGAACAGTGTTGCATTAGAGGGAATGCCGTTGTGGATAATCGTATTTGCAATCTGACGACGATCAGGCTACAGGTTGAAAGGCTCGACACTCCACTGCACTATTGCAATATTTTTACTACGAACATGTCCAAATCTTAACTACCTATAGGAGACAACTTGAAATACTAACATATTTGTACCACACTGCACATTAGTTACAATCTAGTACAACTTATGGTCTGCACTCACATACGTAAAACTGCACTCTCACATTATGTGAATTCATAAATGTTAGGACAGAATTAGAATTCACGTTTCAGGGTTCTCCTGGAGTTTGAACAAATATTTAAAAATGTGAAGCACCGCTGAAACCTCCTCTATCAATCCCTACATCTGCAATTCTAAATTAAAAAAAAAAAAAAAAAAAAATTGGCAACTGTATCACCGTCTGAAATGCAACAATTTCAATGCTTTCTACTCAACAAATTGATGTTTCTATCCTTGCTTCTAACAATTTCACAAGTAATACTTTCTATTTGGCAAGCTAACATATCTATAACTACTAACAAAGTTAAAAATTTGATGCCTCTGTCCCTGCTTCTGCCACACCACAGATAATACTATCGACTTATCAACTTTCTAAGTTCAATTTTGTCTACTAAATGGTATTTCCATATGGCAGTGTATATTCCTGTAATCATCTCAGCCTATCAACACCCATCTCTAAATTCTTCCAGCAGAATGGAAGGTTGTTCATACCTCTCCTCCTGCAATGAAAGGCGACACAAACAAGTATGGCAAAAAAAAGTGTGGAGTATTCTTTTTAAAAGAATGTTCTTGCTCTGCCTAGAGATTTATCAAGTCGTGCCTTTATAAAGCTCTAAACAAAGCAATCTAACTTTCTAACAAATTCTCATAGCTGGTTTGTTAAAACTAGTATTAACAATTTGTTGACCCTAAGACCAGTCACTCATTCCTATTGCTGAACAATGTTCCAGCTCCACCTAGAGCTTTATCGTGTCTTCGTAAAGCTCTAAACAGAGCAGTCTAACTTTCTAACAAATTCTCGTAGCTGATCTGTTCAGCGTTGTATAACAATTTGTTGATCACAAGACCCACCAAATTTACTCATTCCTATTGTTGAAGGTCCTTCATGCACACACACAAAAATTAAAAATAGATTCCTGGGTCTTTGATCACATTTAGATTTGAATATTAAATGAGTTTAACGTATAAACATCTCCGACGTCAGGCGCCGATCATCAAAAACTCAAATCCTATACGGACGGAAAATAAAAGAGCGGAAAGGGGGTGTTTACATCACCCTCAATCAACTCCTATCCGCTGGAGATGGTCTCGGATTGAGGCTGAAGTAAGCAGATTCTTTCCACTGTCTATTTGTCCATGTGGGATTTATTCTCTAATACAACACATACAGTATACCACATATATTGTCAAGAATCACAATACAGTATTAGTTGTATTGCAATAAAATTACCTTCAAATTACAAGTAAAAATGCCATCATATACGCGGTTAATATTCACCTCGTAAACAGAATATATTAACTGATTCTTAAATTTAATTCATCTATATTTTCAAAGGTCAAAATCAAATCCACATAAAAATTCTAGGCATGTACAATATTTTTTAGAAATACTGCCGTTATAGTCATTTTGAAATTTTAAAATACTGGTATATAGTTATATATAGATATTCCTTTCACTGTGGTATCACACCACAGTTGACATGTAAACACCACAGTTGACATGTAAACACCACAGTTGACATGTCACCTTTGTGACTGAATGTTTAATTCCACAATCTCCATTTTCCAATTTTGCTTTGCAAATACAGTACTTGCAACAAATACAAGCTCATACTACGACTTCGGTAGACGCATTCAGTTGTCAGTGGCACGTTTGCGGCGCTTGCTGAGCAGCGAGTTGTTGGCGTGGTCTAGGGTTTTGATCTGCAGGGTGTCGTAGTCGACACGCATGGTGGCCAGGGAGCGCGTCATCTCATCCTGGACCTCCTGCCACAAGTCCCCCTCCTCGCGGAGGATCCTGGAGGTGTGGAGTGGCGTCTGGGGCACCTCCGAGTATTGCTGTAGGAAGAGAAGTCGCAAAATTATCATGAGTGTACGCTATAATGACGAGGTACAATGAGAAACTATGAAATAGGAACTGGCTAAGGTTTAATTGCATAACGGAGATGGACGCAAGACAAGATTTGTTCAGATTTTAAACCTGGAGGGTTAGCCATCTAGGATAACCTTGGGTAGGGAGGGTTAGCTACCCATGATAACTCAGGGTAGGAAGAGTTAGCCACACAGGATAACCCAGGGTAAATAGATAACAAAAAGGCACAATACCATGACTGGAACAATACACAAATAACCCGAACATAGAAGAGAGGAGCTAACGACGACGTTTTGGTCCAACTTGGACCATTTACGAAGTCACATTGACTTTGTAAATGGTCCAAGTCGGACCGAAACGTCGTCGTTAGCTCCTCTCTTCTATGTGCGGGCTATTTATGTATAACCCAGGGTAAGGAGTGTTAGCCACCCAGGATAACCCAGAGTAGGGAGTGTTAGGCATCCAGGATAACCCAAGGTAGGGAGGGTTAGCCATCCAGGATAACCCAGGGTAGGGAGTGTTAGCCACCCAGGATAACCCAGGGTAGGGAGTGTTGCCACCCAGGATAACCCAGGGTAGGGAGGGTTAGCCACTCAGGATAACCCAGGGTAGGGAGGGTTAGCCACCCAGAATAACCCAGGGTAGGGAGGGTTAGCCACCCAGGATAACCCAGGGTAGGGAGGGTTAGCCACCCAGGATAACCCAGGGTAGGGAGGGTTAGCCACCCAGGATAACCCAGGGTAGGGAGGGTTAGCCACCCAGGATAACCCAGGGTAGGGAGGGTTAGCCACCCAGGATAACCCAGGGTAGGGAGGGTTAGCCACCCAGGATAACCCAGGGTAGGGAGGGTTAGCCACCCAGGATAACCCAGGGTAGAGAATGTTAGCCACCCAGGATAACCCAGGGTAGGGAATGTTAGCCACCCAGGATAACCCAGGGTAGGGAATGTTAGCCACCCAGGATAACCCAGGGTAGGGAATGTCAGCCACCCAGGATAACCCAGGAAAGTCAGTGCTTCATCGAGGACTGTCTTATTTCCACTGTTGTCCTTCAACCTCGTCCCCCAGGATGCCACCCACACCAGTCCACTAACACCCAGGTACCTACTTCCTTGCTAGGTGAACAATAACAGAATTTGTAAAACAACAAGCCCAATATTTTCTCGGACACTCAGTGGCATTCAACAGCCACTTGTTAGTTAGTTAGTTTAATATCTTTATTATGCACCCCATACCCATCCTGTGGGTGGTAGTCACCACATACCCATCCTGTGGATGGTAGTCAAAAGATTACAAAGGTACATAATGGGTCCAGGGACTGGACCCCAAAGTTATGATAGCTGAACTAGTTACAAAGGTAATGAACTCCAGGTAGATCTGGTCACAATCATGGCAAGTTACAGAGGTAATGAATCAGCCTCACTCCTATACATGGTTACAATCATGAACAAATTACAAAGTAATGAGCCACTGATACATCCACACCTGGTCACAATTGTAATGAGTTATAAATACAAATATTAAGTGGGTCATACACCCACACGAGCACGCACGCATACACATACACACACGAGGGTGCACGCACACACATACACACACGAGGGTGCATGCAGACACATGCACACAAGCATACAAATATATGTATACACACAAGCACGTGTGTGCGCGCGCACACACACACACACACACACACACACGTGGTAATGCTTTATTTACAGCTAGCAAAGTCAGGGTATTTCTCCAGAATGGTCTGTAATATACCACTGTGGATAAAATACTTTGCCATTTCTTGAACACTTCTGAGTGAGTTGTCTCTAAATTCATTAATTTGATCCCACTCCAGTACATAATGACGCAAGATGTGATGCACTCCAGTACATAATGACGCAGGGTGTGACAATAGTCCATCTGGCAAAGTTTACATTTCGTTTGATCTACATCTGGTGGTGGTGATTTAACCTGCCACAGATACTTGTAACCCAGCCGGAGCCGGGCGGTAGTGACATCCAAGAGTCTGCTTATCTTGTTGGATGCACCATAGACATGTGGCTCCTCCTGCATGATGGAATGATGATAGATGGACTGACTTGTGTCAATCTCCCTATGTCTTATGTCAATAAAGTTCAATTGAAGTTCTTTTCATATTATTGTTCTCAAACTGCTAACTGACAACCCAAGATCGTAATCTACTCCCTCCTTGAAAGCATACAGCTTAGCCAATTTATAACAGTTCTATCATGCATCTGAAGACCAATGTGAGATGGAATCCACAGCATGTGCACTCTGACTCCACTGTCCACAATCTTACCATACCTGTGTCTGGCTTCTGACACAAGCATGCCACAATTTATACTTAATGAGTTGAGAGCATTTATGGATGACAGAGAATCAGTTACAATTAAAGTGTCAACCTTAGATACATGGACACATTTGAGTGCAAGGAGTATGGCAAACAGTTCTGTTTGAAGGGCAGAGGCCCAGTTATTGATGCGTGCTCCAATTTCTTTATGAGAGCCATCACTCTGTATGACAACAGCAGCACTACCAGGCAGTGCTTCATCAAGGGCTCCTGTCTTATTTTCACTGTGGTCCTTCAAACTTGTACCCCAGGATGCCACCCACACTAGTCCACTAACATCCAGGTCCCTACTTACTAACATACACTTCACCTTGTTATTTCAAGAAGTAACGGAGGAGCACTCCAAGAGGCCTACTGGCCCAAATTAGGTAAGTCCTTCTCAAAACCAACCAGTCCCACCCACCCACTTGTCCAACCCTTTCACCCAAAACTACCCAAGAATTAGCTTAAATACCTCAGGTCCTAAATTTTTTTTAACACGTCGGCCGTTTCCCACTGAGGCAGAGTGATCCAAAAAGAAAGAAAAAAAACTTTCATCATTCAACACTTTCACCGTCACTCATACATAATCAGTGTCTTTGCAGAGGCGCTCAGATACGACAGTTTAGACGTCCCTTCAAACTGCCAATATCCCAAGCCCTTCCTTTAAAGTGAAGGCATTGTACTTCCCATTTCCAGGACTCAAGACCGGCTAACCGGTTTCCCTGAATCCCTTCACAAAAAATTACCCTGCTCACACTCCAACAGCACGTAAGGTCCCAAAAACCATTAGTCTCCATTCACTCCCAACACACTCGTGCACGCTTGCTGAAGTCCAAGCCTCTTGGCCCACAAAACCTCCTTTACCCTCTCCCTCCAACCTTTTCAGGGACGACCCCTACCCCACCTTCCTTCCCCTACAGATTTATACACTCTCCAAGTCATCATACTTTGTTCTATTCTCTTGAAATGACCAAACCACCTCAACGGCCCCTCTTCAGCCCTCATGACTAATACTTTAATAACTCCACACCTCCTAAAACTGACTGTTGACTAAAGCTCTCGCTTCACACAGCGAGGGTCTTGGTTCGATTAACAGCCAGGGTAGAAACATTAGGCATGTTTCTTTACACCTGATGTCTATGTTCACCCATCAGTACAATGGGTACCTGGATGTTAGTCGACTGGTGTGGGTCGCATCCTGGGACACTGACCTAATTTGAGGGAAATGCTCTGCATAACAAGCAGCTTTCTATATAGTAATATGTCACTGTCAGCTATGGTCTGTATACCTTGTATGTTCTTGTAGTAAATAATTATATTATTATAAGAGTGGCAGACAATTACAAAATACAGTGGACCCCCGGTTAACGAACTTTTTTCATTCCAGTAGTATGTTCAGGTGCCAGTACTGACCGAATTTTTTCCCATAAGGAATATTGTGAAGTAGATTAGTCCATTTCAGACCCCCAAACATACACGTACAAACGCACTTACATAAATACACTTACATAATTGGTCGCATTTGGAGGTGATCGTTAAGCGGGGGTCCACTGTATATCAATATCTGCAGACTATTCAACCTTCTACCAACAAATGTAAAAAATCTAAGAGAATAAATACAGTTTTTAAGGGGATACCAGATTTCTTCCTACTAGAAGAATTAAAAACTTGCAGTCAACCCTCTATATAACGGACCTTTGTATAATGGACTTCAGAAATATGGAACAAAATCTACTGGCTACTTGATTTGTAATTGTTAACTGCCATTATAATCACTGCAAAACAATCTGTTTTCTATCCACCACAACTGCCATTACCAATTACATAGCCAATTAGTCTGTTATATGGAGGGTTCACTGTATGTTACCAATAACATGTGGTGAAAGAGATGTCAGCAAACACCTATGACATTACATGTGGATATGCTTCAGTTCTGGGACCTTGGCATGTCTTGCTTGCTTGCATGCCTTTAAGCACTACTAGAAGTGCACAATGAACCAGGTTGCAATGGCCATATAGGCAGCTAGTAGCAATACCCTGATTGACCAACAGGCTGGACCACCAGGGTAAGAAAACCCTTGAAACTAGTCCCTCACCTAGGGTCATCCTAGGAAAGGTTGTTGGGAGCGGCTTGTTTTATATGCAAGGGCTTTTTATGACTTCATGTGCTGTCGGAGTGTGTGCAAGGTAACATTTGCGAAGGGATTCACGGAAACTGGTTAGCCGGACTCGAGTCCTAGAGGTGGAAAAACAGTGCCTGCACTCTGAAGGAGGGGTGGAGATATTTGCACTCTGGAGGGATATTTGACCTGTAGCATCTGCGTGCCTTTGGCAAGACAGTGATGGAGTGAATCATGGCAGAAGTGCTTCTCCTTTTTCAAGTCAACCTGCCTTGGTCGGAGATGGCCAGTGTTAAAAAAATAAATAAGAGTCACCCTTGAAGAGAATATTATACAAGTTCACATCATCCATTTAGTTACTGTGATGCAGTCTTCAGTGACCCATTACTGTCGTTTATCAAACACCGCCAGTCTTTCACTGAGGTAGGGTGATCTAAAATAGAAAACATATTTTTCTTCTGTCTTCTTTCAACGCACTGGTCGTATCCCACCGAGGCAGGGTGGCCCAAAAAGAAAAACAAAAGTTTCTCTTTTTAACTTTAGTAATGTATACAGGAGAAGGTGTTACTAGCCCCTTGCTCCCGGTATTTTAGTTGCCTCTTACAACACGCATGGTTTACGGAGAAACCCATGCGTGTTGTGTCTCCACTTCCCTACGGAGATAAGAGGAAATAAACAAGAACTAGTAAGAAAATAGAAGAAAACCCAGAGGGCTGTGTATATATACGCTTGTACGTTTATGTGTAGTGTGACCTAAGTGTAAGTAGAAGTAGCAAGACATACCAGAAATCTTGCATGTTTATAAGACAGAAAAAAGACACCAGCAATCCTACCATCAGGTAAAACAATTACAGGTGCTATCGTTTTACACCCGGCAGGACGGTAGTACCTCCCTGGGCGGTTACTGTCTACCAACCTACTACCTAGAGAAAACACATTCACCATCATTCATTCAATTGTTGTCTTGCCAAGAGTACAAAGACAGTAACTGACAGTTCAAAGCTGCAAGATCCCCCACCCCTCCAGGACTCGAGTCTGGTTAACCAGTTTCCCTGAATCCTTTCATGGACGTTACCTTGCTCAGGGAGCCATAAAAACCACTTATCACTCCCCTCTAACATGCTTAGACAATCCTGCTGGATGTTCAAGCCCCTAGTACTCAAAACTCCTTTACTCCCTTTCTCCAACTCTTTCTAGAATGACCTCCACCTCTCTTCCTCCTCCTTTCCATCTTAGTTACAAACCTTCTTAGTCATCCCAGTCAGCTCTATCTTCTCTAAATGTCCAAACCACCTCAACAACTCCTCCTCAGCCCTCTGAATTATTTTATTATTTATTATTATTTTATTATCACACTGGCCGATTCCCACCAAGGCAGGGTGGCCCGAAAAAGAAAAACTTTCACCATCATTCACTCCATCACTGTCTTGCCAGAAGGGTGCTTTACACTACAGTTTTTAAACTGCAACATTAACACCCCTCCTTCAGAGTGCAGGCACTGTACTTCCCATCTCCAGGACTCAAGTCCGGCCTGCCTCTGAATATATGCTTGATAACCCCCACCTAATTTCTACACTCCTAATTCTCTGCATGATCAAACCACACATCTCTCTCAAACATATTTCCACGGCCTTCAGCCTCCTACTCATTCAAATGTTAAAAGCACATGCCTCACACCCATATATTATTGTTGGCACAATATCACCATACTCTGATGCTTCACACTTTTAGCCTCTATAGATGATGATGAATGATGATGATGAATGATGATGATGAATGATGATGATGAATGATGATGAATGATGATGAATGATGATGATGAAGAATGACAATGAATGATGATGAATGATGATGATTGAGGGGGCTGAGATGGTGGTGTTGAGGTGGTTTGGATATTTAAAGAGATGGAGCAAAATAGGATGGTTTGGAGGGTGTATAAATCTGTAGTGGAGGGAAGGTGGGGTAGGGGTTGTCCTTGTAGATGAATGGTTCAGAGAACCGACATGTTGATAAATTAGACACATGTGCAACTCTTGGGTATCTTTATTGAGGAAACGTTTCACCACACAGTGGCTTCATCAGTCCAAACGCAGGAGAAACTTGAAGAACAGGAGGAGAATGAGGTAATCAGTCCCTCAACCTTGAGTCGATGTGTTCAGTCCATCAATCTTGAGTAGAATACGGCAGATGAGCGGAGAAGCAGCTTATAAACCGTATGGCAGGAGAGGTGTAGCAGTCATAGGTAGTGTCACATTTGTTCAATGTGGAAGTAGGTCGTGCCCAAGAATTAGGCAAGCGAAGGATTCCTAAGTATTAAGATCCCAAGAAGTTGAACACTACCTATGACTGCTGCACCTCTCCTGCCATACGGTTTATAAGCTGCTTCTCCGCTCATCTGCCGTATTCTACTCAAGATTGATGGACTGAACACATCGACTCAAGGTTGAGGGACTGATTACCTCATTCTCCTCCTGTTCTTCAAGTTTCTCCTATGTATGGACTGATGAAGCCACTGTGTGGCGAAACGTTTCCTCAATAAAGATACCCAAGAGTTGCACATGTGTCTAATTTATCAGGGGTTGTCCTAGAAAAGGTTGGAGGGAGGGAGGTGAAGGAAGTTTTGTGTGTGAGGGACTTGGACATACAGCATGCATGCATATGCATATGCATATGTGTGTGTGTGTGTGTGTGTGTGTGTGTGTGTGTGTGTGTGTGTGTGTGTGTGTGTGTGTGTGTGTGTGTGTGTGTGTGTGTGTGTGTGTGTGTGTGTGTGTGTGTGTGTGTGTGTGTGTGTGTGTGTGTGTGTGTGTGTGTGTGTGTGTGTGTGTGGTGTGTGTGTGTGTGTGTGTGTGTGTGTGTGTGTGTGTGTGTGTGTGTGTGTGTGTGTGTGTGTGTGTGGTGTGTGTGTGTGTGTGTGTGTGTGTGTGTGTGTGTGTGTGTGTGTGTGTGTGTGTGTGTGTGTGTGTGTGTGTGTGTGTGTGTGTGTGTGTGTGTGTGTGTGTTGTGTGTGTGTGTGTGTGTGTGTGTGTGTGTGTGTGTGTGTGTGAGGTAGGTGTGACGGCAAATGATTTTTGGGACTTTATGTGCTGTTGGAGTGTGAACAAGGTAACATTTTGTAAAGGGATTCAAAGAAACCAGTTAGCCAGACTTGAGTCCTGGAGGTGGGAACTTTGTCTCGGTAGGAGAGAGCCAGTGTGATAAAAAACAACATTCAAACAACTATGGAACACAACATTAAAGATAACTCACCACAATCCACTTGTTCTTCATTACATCAAAGATTGTTAGTCGTTCCTCTGGGTCCGTACGCAGCATCCCCTTGATTAGGTCTTTGGCTTCTTGGCTCACATTAGCCCACTCGGGGTTAGGAAAAGTGTACTGGCCAGTACGGATCCGCTTTTTCATCCCCGGCGATATTGCGTGGCCGTGATTGCTGTAGAAGGGAGGGAAACCACAAAGCCTGGGGAAAGAGAAAAAAAAATTAAGGAGATGAAGAATGGTGTTGATTAATGGTTACAAAGACAAACAGAAAGAAACTTCAGGTGTGATGCTTACACCTCTCTCTCTCTAGATTACTTGTGAATTGTTCCATTCACATTATTGGGTGTTAATGTTGCAGTTTAAAAACTGTAGTGTAAAGCACCCTTCTGGCAAGACAGTGATGGAGTGAATGATGGTGAAAGTTTTTCTTTTTCGGGCCACCCTGCCTTGGTGGGAATCGGCCAGTGTGATAATAAAAAAAAAAAAAAAATAGTCTATCATACTCTTATAATAATCTATGTCACTATATATTGTCTATCATACTCTTATAATAATCTACAGTGTCTATTATACTCTTATAATAATGTGAAGTGCCTATTATACTCTTATAATAATCTTAAGTGAACAAGTATCTAGTAGAAAGAAAATATAAAATAATCACAATATCAGGCTGGAACAATTTTCCAGAAAACCGCACCTAGGAGAGGAACGATAAGATGATGATCTGGTTCATTGTCCCATTCCAACTTCTGGCCTTCCCTGTCTCTTAATCACTCACTTGTGATTTGAAAATGGTCGAGGATCCACCGAAATGCCGTCCTAACGCTCCTAAAGTGAGGGTTTTGGGTTGAACATATTGCGGTAAAAAAAAGAACAAACAAACATGGAATGGGTGGGATTTGAACCCATGGTGTCTTAAAATTCACAGGCTAGTGTATTAACCACTTGGCTAGCCGGCTCTGGTCAAGTGGTCGACGCACTGGCCTATGAATTCTAGGATCTGCCTACCATGGGTTCGAACCCCCACCTGTTCCGTGGCTTGTTTTCAACCGTGATATTGCGATTTCGTGAGTACAGTGGACCCCCGGTTAACGAACTTTTTTCATTCCAGAAGTATGTTCAGGTGCCAGTACTGACCGAATTTTTTCCCATAAGGAATATTGTGAAGTAGATTAGTCCATTTCAGACCCCCAAACATACACGTACAAACGCACTTACATAAATACACTTACATAATTGGTCGCATTTGGAGGTGATCGTTATGCGGGGGTCCACTGTACTATGATAGTTCATAAGCTGGGGAGGTTAAATTTTTTTTTTTTACCAAACTGATTGTTTTCCCCATAAAGAAAGAAGCATTCACCATCATTCTTTTAACAATGCTTCTTCACTCAATACAAGTAAATATCTTTAAAATGGTACAAATTACCAATAAGTTAATTTTTAAGAAACACACTTAAAATTGTGTATCTTTGTGGAAATGTTTTGCCTACACAGTAAGGTTCTTCGGTCAAATACGGAGTACAGGTTAAAGGAAGCAGTAGTGATGAGGTAAAGATGATGTAATCAGTCCATCAACCTTGTAGGAAAAGTTTGAGATGGTCAGTCCCTCAGCTGAAGTACTGACAACCTCAGCTGAGGGACTGACCACCTCAAACTATTTCTACAAGGTTGATGGACTGACTACATCATCTTTACCTCATCACTTCTGCTGCCTTCAACCCATACTCTTTATCTGACTGAAGAAGCCTAACTTATAGTTGAAACCTTTCCACACTAAAGATACCCAACTGCCGCACTTGTGTCTTACTCAACAGAAGTAAATATACTCACAAAATGTACATTATAACGCCTAAAGACCAAATATCGCAACTCTTGTCGTACTTCTCTGGTCCCAACACTTCAGGAGCTGAAATAACAATGACGACCAGTTAGAAAATAAATGAAAAAGTCGATCATTTTTACTAGAATTAATATTTTGGGGAATACAGCAGGGCCCCCATATCAATGGAGTTGATATTCGCAGTTTCAGTTACCTACGGTTTACTTTGGCTCCAAAATAACCCTTAGTTTTGCTTAATAATAGCGCAAAGTACGAAAGTAGAGAAGCTGGCAGTTCTTCAAGGCCTGAGAGAAGCCGTGAAATGCTTCCCATCAGTGAAGAAGTGTTAATTCTAGACTTATTTTGCACAATGTATCAATTAAACTTTATCATAGGTATGTACGTAAAGGAAAAATTACATATACAGTGGTACCTCGAGTTACGAACTTAATTCGTTCCAGAAAGCTGTTCGAGTGCCAATACCGAATGAATTTGTTCTCATAAGGAATAATGTATAGGAAGTAGGTTGGTAGACAGCAACCGCCCAGGGAGGTACTACCATCCTGCCAAGTGAGTGTAAAACAAAAGCCTGTAATTGTTTTACATGATGGTAGGATTGCTGATGTCCTTTATTCTCTCTCATAAACATGCAAGATTTCAGGTACGTCTTGCTACTTCTGCTTACACTTAGGTCACACTACACATACATGTACAAGCATATATATATATATACAGTGGACCCCCGCATACCGTTGGCATCACATACCGTTTATTCCGCATACCGCTCACTTTAATCGCAAAAATTTTGCCTCGCATACCACTCAAAAACCCGCTCACCGCTGTTCGTCCGAGATGCGTCCAATGTGCACCTTAGCCAGCCTCACATGTTCCGCCGGTGGCATTGTTTACCAGCCAGCCTCCGCGGTAGCATCCAAGCATACAATCGTAACATTTCGTATTATTACAGTGTTTTTGGTGATTTTATCTGGAAAATAAGTGACCATGGGCCCCAAGAAAGCTTCTAGTGCCAACCCTACAGCAATAAGGGTGAGAATTACAATAGATATGAAGAAATTGATCATTGATAAGTATGAAAGTGGAGTGCGTGTCTCCGAGCTGGCCAGGTTGTATAATCAACCCCAATCAACCATCGATACTATTGGTGGTACAGCTGCTGCTGCACTGTCAGCTGCTGCTGCTGCTGTAGCATCGTCTGCTGCTGCTGTAGCATCGTCTGCTGCTGCTGTAGCATCGTCTGCTGCTGCTGTAGCACTGTCAGCTGCTGCTGCTGCTGCTGTAGCATCGTCTGCTGCTGCTGTAGCATCGTCTGCTGCTGCTGTAGCATCGTCTGCTGCTGCTGTAGCATCATCTGCTGCTGCTGTAGCACTGTTGTTGGTGTGGCTTATTGAGAATATACCAAGAAACAATTAACCCCAGAGGATTTGCCACCCAGGATAACCCAAAAAAGTCAGTGTCATCGAAGACTGTCTAACTTATTTCCATTGGGGTCCTTAATCTTGTCTCCCAGGATGCAACCCACACCAGTCGACTAACACCCAGGTGAACAGGGAAAAATGCCTGGAACTAGTGCTCATATTGGTGAATTTAAAGCCAGCAAAGGTTGGTTTGAGAGATTTAAGAATCGTAGTGACATACACAGTGTGATAAGGCATGTTCTGGAAGAAAATACCAAACAGGACCTACAGTACTCAGGAGGAAAAGGCACTCCCAGGACACAGTGTCTCATCAGTCATTGCTGCATCTTCAATAAAGGTAAGTGTCATTTATTCTTCATTTAGTAGACTAGTACATGCACAATATATATTGTGCATGTACTACTCTACTATTGTGCATGTATCCTTCTCTTTGTGTAGGAAAATGTATATTTCATGTGGTAAAAAAAATTTTTTCATACTTTTGGGTGTCTTGCACGGATTAATTTGATTTCCATTATTTCTTATGGGGAAAATTCATTCGCATACCGATTATTTCGCATACCAATGAGCCCTCTTGCACGGATTAAAATCGGTATGTGGGGGTCCACTGTGTGTGTGTATATATATATATATATATAATAATATATATATAATATATATAAATATATATATATATATATATATATATATATATATATAATTATATATATATATATATATAACACACACACACACACACACACACACACCTCTCTGGGTTTCCTGCTATTTACTTTCTAGTTCTTGTTCTTGTTTATTTCCTCTTATCTCCATGGGGAAGTGGAACAGAATTCTTCCTCTGTAAGCCATGCGTGTTTTAAGAGGCGACTAAAATGCCAGGAGCAAGGGGCTAGTAACCCCTTATAAGAACATAAGAATATAAGAAAGGAACACTGCAACAGGCCTACTGACCCATGCGAAGCAGGTCCATGCCACCCCCGGCCTTAAACAATGACCACCTAGTCAGGCCCTTCCACTTAAGGAGCACGGCACCAGACCTGGTAGCCCAAGCTAGTCAGGTCCAACTCACACCCACATTACTGAAGTTGAAAAGAGAAATTTTTGTTTTCTTTTTTGGGCCACCCTGCTTCGGTTCGGTGGGATACGGCCGGTTTGTTGAAAGAAGAAGGATTAATGTAAATTAGATTAGTCTGTTTCAGATCCCCCAAAATACACTTACAAAAGCACTCTCAAAAATACACTTACATAACTTTTCAAGTTGGGAACTATTCAAAACTCAAGGTACCACTGTATAGGATTAGCTAATATCCACGGCAGGTCTTTGAAGGTATCTCCTGTGGATACCAGGGGACTCTACTGTATTCTATTCTGGGGAAGCTTTTAAAAAGATATTAGACAAATACGAGTGGGAAGAGCTGGGTCTGATTAGTACCTGAAGAAATGAAGCAAATTTTTGGGTGGCTTTGGGAAAAGATTAAACAGTTACGTGTCTGGAAATGCTTGGTTTTGAGAAGGACCTGCCTAGTATGGGCCAGTAGGCCTACTGCAGTGTTCCTCCATTCTAATGGTCTTATGTATATGGAGTGTAACTATCACACAAGACCACCTACCAACATAATATAGAGCATAACTACCACACAAGACCACCTACCAACATAATATAGAGCATAACTACCACACAAGACCACTTACCAACATAATATAGTGTTACTACCACACAAGACCACCTACCAACATAATATAGAGCATAACTACCACACAAGACCACTTACCAACATAATATAGTGTTACTACCACACAAGACCACCTACCAACATAATATAGAGCATAACTACCACACAAGACCACTTACCAACATAAATATAGTGTTACTACCACACAAGACCACCTACCAACATAATATAGAGCATAACTACCACACAAGACCACCTACCAACATAATATAGAGCATAACTACCACACAAGACCACTTACCAACATAATATAGTGTTACTACCACACAAGACCACTTACCAACATAATATAGAGCATAACAAACCACACAAGACCACTTACCAACATAATATAGAGCATAACTACCACACAAGACCACTTACCAACATAATATAGAGCATAACTACCACACAAGACCACTTACCAACATAATATAGTGTTACTACCACACAAGACCACTTACCAACATAATACAGAGTGTAACTACCACACAAGACCACTTACCAACATAATACAGAGTGTAACTACCACACAAGACCACTTACCAACATAATATAGAGCATAACTACCACACAAGACCACTTACCAACATAATACAGAGTGTAACTACCACACAAGACCACTTACCAACATAATACAGAGTGTAACTACCACACAAGACCACTTACCAACATAATACAGAGTGTAACTACCACACAAGACCACTTACCAACATAATATAGAGCATAACTACCACACAAGACCACTTACCAACATAATATAGAGCATAACTACCACACAAGACCACTTACCAACATAATATAGAGCATAACTACCACACAAGACCACTTACCAATATAATATAGAGCATAACTACCACACAAGACCACTTACCAACATAATACAGAGTGTAACTACCATACAAGACCACTTACCAACATAATATAGAGCATAACTACCACACAAGACCACTTACCAACATAATACAGAGTAACTACCATACAAGACCACTTACCAACATAATACAGAGTAACTACCATACAAGACCACTTACCAACATAATACAGAGTGTAACTACCACACAAGACCACTTACCAACATAATACAGAGTAACTACCACACAAGACCACTTACCAACATAATACAGAGTGTAACTACCACACAAGACCACTTACCAACATAATACAGAGTGTAACTACCACACAAGACCACTTACCAACATAATATAGAGCATAACTACCACACAAGACCACTTACCAACATAATACAGAGTGTAACTACCACACAAGACCACTTACCAACATAATACAGTGTGTTACTACCACACAAGACCACTTACCAACATAATACAGAGTGTAACTACCACACAAGACCACTTACCAACATAATACAGAGTGTAACTATCACACAAGACCACTTACCAACATAATATGGAGTGTAACAAGGGGTCTGTAAGGATTCCTTGGAGAAAGTTTCCTTGGCAAAACCAAAATCGGTTAACTTCAGTATGGCATCATCGCCTGAAAAGAGAGATATCTACAATCAATTATTTTACACAGTTGAATTTACAGTTCATTTATAAGCTGAGAGCTGTTATCCTGACTCAGCTTATTTACAGGATAAGAGCCGTTATCCGTAGGTAGTAGGTTGGTAGACAGCAACCGCCCAGGGAGGTACTACCATCCTGCCAAGTGAGTGTAAAACGGATGCCTGTAATTGTTTTACACGATGGTAGGATTGCTGGTGTCTTTTTTTTGTCTCATAAACGTGCAAAATTTCAGGTACGTCTTGCTACTTCTACTTATACTTAGGTCACAATACACATACATGTACAAGCATATATATATATATACACACCCCTCTGGGTTTTCTTATATTTTCTTTCTAGTTCTTGTTCTTGTTTATTTCCTCTTACCTCCATGGGAAGTGGAACAGAATTCTTCCTCTGTAGACCATGCGTGTTGTAAGAGGCGACTAAAATGCCGGGAACAAGGGGCTAGTAACCCCTTCTCCTGTATATATTGCTAAATGTAAAAGGAGAAACTTTTGTATTTCCTTTTGGGCCACCCCGCCTCGGTGGGATACGGCTGGTGTGTTATCCTATTTCACTCTTTACAAAAGCCAGCTCTATCTACAGTACAGGAGAGCCCCACTTATACAGCAGGCTAGGTTCCTGGTTACTGTAGAGCCCCACTTATACAACAAGTTACATTCCAGGCTGCTATAGGGCCCAGCTTAGCCAGCAGGTTAGGTTCCAGGCTACTGCCGTAAAGGGAAAATCACTGTAAAGTGAATCGTAGCTTTTTTTACTTTCAAATGCATATAAAAGCCTAATAACATGTTTACACTATCATACATTAAGTGAGCAATAGACCTAGGCCTAAAAATAATGCATATACAGCACACACATTACTTATCTTAAAATATTTTTGTCCTCAGCATATAGTGTGGGGTGAATATATTGTAGGAAGTCTCAATAAATGAAGAATGGCTAGAATTGAAAATCGCTGTAAAGTGAAGCGCTGTTAAGTGCTGTAAAGTGAAGTGCTGTTAAGTGAAGTGCTGTAAAGTGAAGCGCTGTTAAGTGAAGTGCTGTAAAGTGAAGTGCTGTTAAGTTAAGTGCTGTTAAGTGAAGTGCTGTTAAGTGAAGTGCTGTTAAGTGAAGTGCTGTAAAGTGAAGTGCTGTTAAGTTAAGTGCTGTAAAGTGAAGTGCTGTTAAGTGCTGTAAAGTGAAGTGCTGTTTGTTAAGTGCTGTTAAGTGAAGTGCTGTTAAGTGAAGTGCTGTTAAGTGAAGTGCTGTAAAGTGAAGTGCTGTTAAGTTAAGTGTTGTTAAGTGAAGTGCTGTTAAGTGAAGTGCTGTTAAGTGAAGTGCTGTAAAGTGACGTGCTGTTAAGTTAAGTGCTGTAAAGTGAAGTGCTGTTAAGTGAAGTGCTGTTAAGTGAAGTGCTGTTAAGTGAAGTGCTGTTAAGTGAAGTGCTGTAAAGTGAAGTGCTGTAAAGTGAAGCACTGTAAAGTGAAGTGCTGTTAAGTGAAGTGCTGTAAAGTGAAGTGCTGTTAAGTGAAGTGCTGTTAAGTGAAGTGCTGTTAAGTGAAGTGCTGTTAAGTGAAGTGCTGTAAAGTGAAGCACTGTTAAGTGCTGTAAAGTGAAGCACTGTAAAGTGAAGTGCTGTAAAGTGAAGCACTGTAAAGTGAAGTGCTGTAAAGTGAAGCACTGTAAAGTGATGTTAAGTGAAGTGCTGTAAAGTGAAGCACTGTAAAGTGAAGTGCTGTAAAGTGAAGCACTGTAAAGTGAAGTGCTGTAAAGTGAAGCACTGTAAAGTGAAGTGCTGTAAAGTGAAGCACTGTAAAGTGAAGTGCTGTTAAGTGAAGTGCTGTAAAGTGAAGCACTGTAAAGTGAAGTGCTGTAAAGTGAAGCACTGTAAAGTGAAGTGCTGTAAAGTGAAGCACTGTAAAGTGAAGTGCTGTAAAGTGAAGCACTGTAAAGTGAAGTGCTGTTAAGTGAAGTGCTGTAAAGTGAAGCACTGTTAAGTGAAGTGCTGTAAAGTGAAGTGCTGTAAAGTGAAGCACTGTTAAGTGAAGCGCTGTAAAGTGAAGCACTGTAAAGTGAAGCGCTGTTAAGTGGGAGGGGGGCCTCCTGTATACCACCCATAACAGTCAACTAGGACCTAGGAACCCATTTACTAAATAGGGAAAGTAGGTGAAAAAAGCGTTGTTAGTATGTCTCGCCCTGCTCAGAGCCAAACTCGGGTCCCATTGGGTATGAGCAGGATCGAGTACCCGGGTCTCTCTGGGCATGTGGCTCAACCGTGCTACCACCGACCATCACATCGCTTAGGTTTAGCCCTACAGAAACTACACATAAACACTACTGCAACACTACAAAAGTACTACTGCAACACTACAAAAATCCTACTGCAACACTACATAAATACCACTGCAACACTATATAAATACACTGCAACACTACAAAAATACCACTGCAACAATACAGAAACACTACTGCAACACTACAAAAATGTCAATACATGATAAAACACTCTTGGATGGATGAGAAAGTGTGTTTCTGGGGAAGTGTTTCTGGTGATGTTTCACCCGTGATGGAGGAAACGTCTCAATACAGAAATGTAGTGACTTTCTCACTACCTGGTGACTTACACCAGCATTTAAAGCACCAGTATTCTCATACATGGTTACTGGCAGGTCACCTTCAACACCAGGACACCGCTCTACAGCACTACATCTCTTTAATACAAAGGTCACGGGTCACCTGTGAGTCACAGGGGTCACCAGTGAGTTACAGGGACACCTATGGTGGGCCACAGGTCACTTGTGTAAGTCACAGGTCACCTGTGACTTTCATATACTGTAATTACAAATATGTGACTGCCACCTTTTGTGACAGGTTAGAATGTTACTTGACTTTATAAGCAGGTACCTATAATGTTAACATAAGCAGGTACCTATAATGTTAACATAAGCAAGTACCTATAATGTTAGCATAAGTAGGTACCTATAATGTTAACATAAGCAGGTACCTATAATGTTAACATAAGTAGGTACCTATAATGTTAACATAAGCAGGTACCTATAATGTTAACATAAGCAAGTACCTATAATGTTAACATAAGCAGGTACATATAATGTTAACATTAGCAGGTACCTATAATGTTAACATAAGCAAGTACCTATAATGTTAACATAAGCAGTTACCTTCAACGTGAACATAAGCAGGTACCTATAATGTTACCTACACAATAAGCAGGTATCTATAACATCACAAAGAGAGAAAAAAAAAGAAAAATGAAAGAGAGAGAGCCAGAGCAGACTTACTCATGCTAGCAAAGTGAGCGTGGACTTACTCATGCTAGCAAAGTGAGTGTGGACTTACTCATGCTAGCAAAGTGAGAGTGTGGACTTACTCATCCTAGCAGAGTGAGAGTGTGGACTTACTCATGCTAGCAAAGTGTGTGGACTTACTCATGCTGGCAAAGTGAGTGTGGACTTACTCATGCTAGCAGAGTGTGGACTTACTCATGCTAGCAAAGTGAGAGTGTGGACTTACTCATGCTAGCAAAGTGAGTGGTGGACTTACTCATGCTAGCAAAGTGAGAGTGTGGACTTACTCATGCCAGCAGAGTGAGTGTGGACTTACTCATGCTAGCAGAGTGTGGACTTACTCATGCTAGCAAAGTGAGAGTGTGGACTTACTCATGCTAGCAAAGTGAGAGTGTGGACTTACTCATGCTAGCAAAGTGAGTGTGGACTTACTCATGCTAGCAAAGTGAGAGTGTGAACTTACTCATGCTAGCAGTGTGTGGACTTACTCATGCTAGCAGTGTGTGGACTTACTCATGCTAGCAAAGTGAGTGTGGACTTACTCATGCTAGCAAAGTGAGAGTGTGGGCTTACTCATGCTAGCAAAGTGAGTGTGGACTTACTCATGCTAGCAAAGTGAGTGTGGACTTACTCATGCTAGCAAAGTGAGAGTGTGGACTTACTCATGCTAGCAGAGTGAGAGTGTGGACTTACTCATGCTAACAAAGTGAGTGTGGACTTACTCATGCTAGCAAAGTGAGTGTGGACTTACTCATGCTAGCAGAGTGAGAGTGCGGACTTACTCATGCTAGCAGAGTGAGAGTGTGGACTTACTCATGCT